GTAAAATAATATATATATATATATATATATATATATATATATATATTACAATAAAAAACATATTGTAGATAAAAAAAATACAACTAAAACTGACACTTCTTTCGCTAGGATAAAGAATTGCTTCAATTTTCTACAAAAATGAACTTTAAACAATTAGATGAAAATTCAAAGACTTAACTTTTTTTATTACTAACAAATAAAGAGGTAAACAAAATAAATTCTAAATAAAAACTTCTCATTATTTCACACTTATCAGAAAAAACATTCAAGAGTCAGGATTATTGCAAATTTTCTCCCTATTATCAATGTCATGCCTCGAATATTTTGTACATTAGAAGAAATTCCATCTTTCAAAAGCTCTCAGGTTAGAGGGTTTTTAGCATTTTTTATTAAGGCTGAAAATATAGTCATAACATATGAACAACAAGAGGACATTTAGTCCTTCAAGGCTCTCCCTACATACCATCCTTTGAGAGAAAAAAAAAGTAAAAAATTAAAACCATCTTTCATTCTTCAAGAAATTATCAAGCTCTCCAAGAACTAGAGGGCAACATGAGCATACTTGCATAACAGCTTTCATAATTTAAGCAAAAATAGTAATTCTAACTCTATATTAACATTTTTTTTACTCAAAAATATCTCAATTGATATGTTGTAACTTTGCAAAATTTATTTTATGTAACTTGCAAAGACAAGTTATTTTAATATTTCAAATTTGATCTCTGCATAGTTCCAACTGGATATCACTTGTAAACAAAGCCATTACACATTTTTTTTTTTAGAAATTTTATGACCATCCTAAAGTACAGGTTTATATTTACTCTGACCCTGGGATCCAATAAAAATACTTATCCAAGGTTTTATTTATCACATGACTTTCCTTTTCTCTCAATGACTATTTCAAGAACACCGTGTTAAAAAGCTTTTATGATGCCACAGCAAGTTAGTGTAAGGTAACTAATAAATCTTAGCCTCCAAACAAGATAAAACCAATGGAAAATGTAATTAGATAGAAAGATTCTTTTCTACATACATTAAGGTAAACAGTAATGTATGATTTTTGTAAAAGTGACTAGTGGAAGTTCTCAGTGGAGGACAAAAGATTCTAATGCAAAGTTTACAAAACTTAAGAACAATCCCCAAACCTGTTTTTTTTTTAAAGATTCTTTTGATAATTTTTTTGTTTTTGATAATATTTTTGGTGTTACATTATGTCTGTTTTAAAACTACAGGAATATTCTTATAGGAGAAAACGTAAAGTAAAGATATTTAGGTTAGAGAGCATGGTACCTTAGGTATTCTGTAATGGCAAACTATTCAGGTGACAGAAATACTTTTGTATGTGTGTATTAGTAAATTTATTATTACTTAAACAACATTTACAAGAACCTCTTAGTTACTGAAAACAAACTATAATTATTAAAGAGAAATTAAGCTTGACCCAAAATACAATTGGAAAAATATTGGGTGTGCCAGAGTAAGCCTAGGGTATGGGTACAAGCTGTGTTTTACTAGTTAACACATTTACTGTTCATCTGTGTTTTATGCTATTTTTACAGCTGCATAACTGCTTTAATAGATGAATATAAATAACTGATGGAACTAAGTTGGACCTAATTAGAAACTGAAAATAAATGATTTTAGGCACACAAAAAAAGACCATAGGAACTATAAATGAAAGGCAGTATTTTTTTTAATGGTTTTTAAAAGGAGCATTTCAAAACAAAATTTTGAAAATTCACAATTTAAATATTATACAAATACTAAACCAAATTATATAATTTTTTTTTACCACAAACAACATATCATGTAGAAATTGTGTACCAAATTTCCATTTCATGCAATTAGGTTAAGCAACATAAGTTTCACAATAAAACAAACAGGGGTGACACAACATCACCCTGTGTGGATGGCAAAAAATGTCAACAAACATTACAAAGAAAATATCATATTACAGTACAATTAAAAATTACACACATTAATTAAAATTAGATAAATTTAGTTGATAACTTGTGCAATTTTATTTTGTCTATATATACATGCACACTAAAACAACCTAAGTTGAACCCTAGCTACTGCTTAACTTAACCCAACATTTCCTAAAGTGTGTGGCACACCACTCCAGGGGGCACAAGCAATTAGGAGAGTAAATAGTGCAATATTAAGCAATTTAATATACTTTTTATTAATGAAAATAATAAGTAAATAGTGCAACATATAGCATTTTGATGTGTATGCATGTATTACATCTCATCACTTAACTTACTTTTTCACTCATTGAGGTGTGCAAGAAAGGATATTTGGGAACTGCTGGTTCAACCCATATAATTTCAAACTCCATTTCCATCATCAGTAAAAATATGTGTATCGATTAAGATACTAGTTATTCTGAAAACACTTTTACAAATAAAAAAACAGCAACATTTAATATTACAAGGTATATTTAATAAGAACAACAACTTTATAGGTGCCTACCTAAGAATTTTTCTTTTGATTGTCTTTCCTTTTGCAGAACTCTGTAATGATGAGCTTGAATCTAATGTCTTTGGAGTGTTACTACTCTGAGGAATAGAACTACTATCACCACCCGACTGTGTTTTTCCACAAGTTTTTGGTTGAGTTTCCTAAATAGTATTGAAATAAATAAAATACAAGACAAAAATGTCAATAACTACAGCTGGAATATAACAAACAAGTTAAATATAAAAGATTTACTGATATTAATCTCTTTACTGTCAGACTACCTGTATTGTTAGTTCTCTATTTGAATAATGTGAAATTAAATTGCACTCTATCTTATGAAGTCAGTGAACAGCACTGAGGCAGTTAATGAATATAAAGCATCCTTAGAAATGTGACTTTTGGCAAACTACAACTTAAATCTTTTAAAATCAGTACACAGCACTGATAGAAACAAAAATGATGACATCCCTATGATTGAGTATTTACAATATTAATACCTTCCAAGGTAAGAAAGCAGTAAAAAAAGCACAAACATTATTCTATTCCTTATCTTTCTACTATTAAAGAAAATTTCTTCACAAACAGGTAAAACTTCATGACCGTTATAAAAACTGGGCTATAACAGTCCTTAAACTATACCTTCTAAAACAAATTAGAGACTATAACTCTGGCGACACCTCTCTGTTCAGGGAAAAACAACTGTGTAATCTATTATTGTTTCTAACTTCCCCCCTTCTTTAACAAATATCCTAAACATGGCCTTCATTTTTCTAAAGTTAATCATACACTTTTAATTTCTTTCTAATCCATAATAGACTTGTGATATTTTTAACCTTTCTATGATAAGTTATTAGCTTATTAGTATTGCTTAATTTCAGTAAGTGAATTTGAAACCTACATATATATCTTTAAATAATGTTCTATTTTGCCCTTACTGTGTAGTAATATTCAGCAACAAAAATTTATTTTTAAACTAGATGTATGTGACTGCCAAAGACAAACTAATATATTAAATTATATTCTACATACACACACACAGATTACATGAAATCATACAAAAGAATACTGAATGTTGTAGTTTATCATTAAATACCAGTATCATAAAAGCTACCTGTTACTTCAGGATTTACAGCTGGGCAATTAGTTTAATTTGATAATTGATTAATTGTTTGGTTCATTAATTTATTACATTCAGTTAATCGATTATCCACACAAGATTTAAGTAATTGGAATAATCAAAAATGGTAATAGTCGGAAACATTGGTTTTAGTTAGTTTATTAATTTACTTAGCCCTGACACTGATTAAGCCGGACAACCTTAAATTACTCAAAATAGTAATAAGAAATCATATGGCAATATTGGAATTACTTGTACAGTTTAAATAATTTGAAATGCTAACAACCAGAAACATTAATTTTATTAGCTGATTATTTTGAGACCTTAACTGATTTAATTATAATTTTGATTATTTCACGTGACATTAATCAATGCCCATATATATATATGTAGCCATTAACAAGATATCAAACAGGTGTATAAGGCCTATACAGATACATTTTGTGTCCAACTTATATTCTTGTTTTCAATGGAATCTGTACTTATGGTCAGTGAAATATAATTCTTATATGATTGTAAAACATTTTTAATAATAAAGTAGTACAGTTATGCCACAGAACAAGATAAGTGTAAGTATATACCAGGCTTCTTAATACTCTGGAACCTTGAGTATTTCATGCACAGATTTCTAAGTTCACACTCTGAAACTGGGACATACAGGTACATTCATCCTTATACACTTTGGTTCACACACATTAAAAAAGTAAAGTAATGCACTAATTTTTTTGTTTTAATGCTGCTACTGACTTTAGAATACATCAAATACATTTTGAGTTGGGCATTAGGAACATGTACATAGTATATACTAGATGTACTTTCACAGGGTCCCCGAAAGTGTTCTGTTTCAAGAGTAAATAAAACCACAGTTACAGTAACAAATATTTTTATTTCTTGCTTTTGAAGTTCATATGTCATGCTGTGTTGAAGCCTACAGATGCATAATTCTTTATGTGATTCATAGCATGCACACATTTTACTGACGTAGATAACTATTTTAAAGCCCCTCTTGACAACTAATTTTTTGAAATTAGTAATCATTCTACTATTCTGTCACTGTATTATTTATAGAATATATTTACCGAGTAAGTGGCCAAAACTACACATAGTATTTCCAATGAAACCTCACCTAAGTTTAAACAATGTTACAGCAACCTTGTTATCCTTACATTCAAAACAACCGTAAATAGATTCTAGAACTTCCCTCCACATTATACACTTGACTAAAAAATTTTGAGTCTTTTCCAACAATAACGACATATTCTTTTTACATAAGAAATTAGTTCATTCCAAGTTTTCTTAACCCAAGTATATTACTGTACATTTCCAATCAAACTCATTTTTCATAACATTTTGACATATTGTCTTCAGAAAACAGCATAAAAAAATCAGTGGCTTTTTCCTATCAGTTCTCCAGGTAGTCTTGTAAACTTAAATTAAATCACTTCTCTTACTTCAAGAAATCTTTGCCTATCTCTTGTTTTTTAGATAAGGATGCCAAAAGTATGCATATGAAGTGGCCTAGTATAATTTATAGTATCAGTCTCTCTGAATCTTAGTGTCAAAAACTTAGACATGTTAGAATCCAGAATCAATATAGAGAAGCAAGTTAAACTATTGAAATGATATACAACAATTCTCAAAATACATTTTAACAGGACCTTACAATCTCGTGTCATTCTGCCCAGGTCCTTTTAGTACACGTTGTTAAATATATCATAACCTCCAAACACATATACAATTTATTGTATTTGCTAACTCCAACCATTATAAGAAAATGTAGCATGAATGCTAAGCATAAACAAACTGGAGAACAAAGAGTAACTATGTAATTAATAAAAAAACGAATCTAGTAGCAACACACCTTTTTACCTAGATATATTTTCTAACAGCTCAAATAAAAATCTTAAATCTCAAGTAACTTACTCGGTCAGAAGAAAATGGAGAGTAATTTCTTATGATGTGTGGACGGGCAAATGATGGCTGAAATGGTGGTGTTTGGTAAGCAGGGTTTTGTTCATCAGTTCTACTTTCAGCATCACTAACACTTGCTGGACTCAAAGCAGAAAAACTGCTTGGACTGCTACTTCCTCTCTCTTCAAAAAGAAGTTTCCTTAGATCTACAAAACAAAAGATTTTACTAGCGTGACTAAAAATGTCAATATTGAATGTAAAATTTTCATATAGTAATAAATAAAGAACTAATAGCTTATAAAAAAATTATTATTTTAAAAACAATTTAAACCTAGAATTTTTCACCCACTCTTACAAAATAGTAATTGATCTTTCTTCCTTTTCAGAATTATGAATGATAGATTCCGACAATCACACTGTTTACAATTTTAACTTACATAATAAAAATCTTAACTCTTAAAAAGTTCAACAATAAAAGCAATTTTCAACATGACAGTGGCATTATAACAAACATTTGTAAAAAAAAAGAAAAAAAAGGTAAAGAATCTTATTTGCATAAATAAACCCATACCCTATACAATTAGCCTACTTTTAGATACTATTAAAACCATTTTGAAAAATGGGCTGCAGTTGGCATATTACTTATCAGATCTGAAAAACACATATGAATATCAAAAGTTGTTTATTTGATAAAAAAATTTTAACTGAATTTATTAATTAAATCACTTGCAACTGAAACTCAGGATATATGAAATGTATCCCTAGTTTAAATGAAGAAAATGTGCACTATTATTCCATACGTAAGCCTTCACATAACGGTATAACATGGGTGATGGACATCTTGTTCATAAAATGCACAATGATGCTTCACATGCAGTTCATTAACCTTTTTTGTGCATCATTAAATGAGTAAAACATAGCAATAAAGCTCAATGGTATAAGCTACATGTAAATATGTGAAGTATACTTCATATATATATATTCAGAATTGCCACTTAAAATAATACTAAATGCCATAACACACCATGATTAAAACGTTGTTTTTACTATATTAATCAAATTCTATAGGTTTATGTTAAGAAATTAGAATCATTGCTACTGCTTCATTGTTCATACTCTTCAATAAATCTGAAAAACTGTGTTAATGGCAGATCATAATTTAAGAAATCACTAGCTTTCGTACAGTGAAGCAATCTGATGCATCACAAATGTTACAGTGTGAATTCCTGGTGAAGCATGATTTCAATTATACTCATCATGAAACATGAGTATTAGGCCTATTATACTTTTAAACACTACATTTTTTATGTAGTCCCTTTGGAACTTTGAAGAATTAGAAGAGTGTATAATAGATATGACAAATATAGTGTGGTTGGAATACTATTCTTAGACACACACTTCTAACTCTTGAAAATCCCCGAGGGATTAGAAAAAGAATGTAGTGCTTAAAAATATAACAGGCCTAATACTAATGTATTTTGATAAGTATAATTAAATTGATGCATACTTTTACAGATACATGTATGAAGAGTATTTTCTTAGAGTTTTCAAAACTATATATACAGTGTTGTGGTATTATTTGAAAACATTACATCACTAAAGCTTTAACAAGTTGTAAGCTGAACTGAGAGCAGCAATTGATTTCAGACTTCTGTGCATAAATCAGTACAGTCTCCTTAATATAAACAAAATAAACCTTAACAAAATCTATTCAACAATAATTACAACAACCATAATAGTAAATATCAATACTTAGTTCGTCATTCTGTTTCAGTAATAACATTTTGAATTATTTTGGGTACAGAGTCAATTAATTGGATAACATTTTGATCTAGATTTTACCATTCTTCCAACAGAATCTCTTACTCTTCTTGAGAAGATTTTGGCTTGTTCTTTCAATGTATTAGGCATCTACCTAAATGCTCCTAAATGTGTTTGACTGGTATTAAGTCTCGACTTTGAGCAACCCATGGTAAAAAATTGATTCTTTTTGTTTCTTTCCATGCCTTAGTTTTTCTGTCAGTGTGGACCATCTTCTTGGAAAAAAGTTATAGATTTGTTTAGGTTTCCTGATGTGAACAATGGCAGTAGACCTTCTATTAAAACCTTCAAGCACTTCTCAACTCTGACCTTCCTGAATTCTAGATTGCCCCCTAGACCATGGAACCATGTTTTTTAGTTTCTTGTTGTGATTTTGAATCCCAAGCTTTATAAGTCTGTTCAGAATTGGTATATTGTCAAAACTTGGTTTCATATGACCAAAAAACAGACTGACAAAACTCAGGTGACTTGTTTCTGTGTTCCCTGGCCCACAAAAGTCTCTTTTACTTTATTCCATTAGATACTAGTGGTTTTCTACAAGCAATTTTTTTTCTGTCCCAGTCAGTTTAAAATGGTTTTAACTGCACACTGAAGTATTGTAATTGACTCAGCAATGTAATTTTGGTAGAACTAAAATGTTTTATTTGTCTTTTCATTGCTGATTTAAGCCGACCTGTAACAACTAGTTTTTGACCAGTTCTGTTTTATTAGCTTACAGTGACCCGTTTCATAATATTATTGAATATCTTTGTTGTAAAGACAGCAATTTGCTTATTTCTCTATTTGACTTCCAAATTCATAATAACCTATGATCCTTCCCATAGTTAACAGGTCCACATCTGCAGCTTTCCTGGTCTTTATGTTGGACTGTAATAAAATGAAATAATATATTTAGTTATTTACAGTATATAGCTGCATGTATTTGCCAGACCATACCATTTTCTCTGTTCACCAGACTGTGATAAAATTCTCAAGTTGAGTGTGCTTAAATTAATATGACAACTCACACACACACATTATATATATATATATATATACATGTATATATCGCAGGGCCAATCATGTACTTATTTTAGTATATAACATACACTTTATGGTAATATAACAAAAAGTTTGTAACTTCAGGAAACATTTCATTATTGAAGTTATTTATTAGTAAATGTGAATTGATACCCCAATTTTCAAAGTGTAGTGTTAAAACTGTTTTGTGCCAAAAACTATTTTGTTTTTGCTGGCAAACTCTTGTTGTTAACCTACAGTTAAAACTTCTTGTCACACAAAACAAATTTTATTTCAAATTATGAAAACCCAGAGAAAAATAAGTATTGCTATTGAGCAGTCACCATTTTTAAAAAGTGTTAGCTGATCATCTGGAACATTTGGATAACCCAATTTTTCCAACTCTGATCGAACTTCTTCATCTGTAAAGTCTAAACACGGAGAATCCAGCATCCTGATTTTGTTCAATGGCCTGCTTCTTTTACCAGGAAATGCAAGAGTACTTGTAGCTAGGAGTCATGTTTACATGGAGCTGTTTTGAAAAATATAAGTTCATTGCTGATATTACTGAATACATATTTACATATGAATTGAAATGTTAGACTAGACAATAAAATCAATGTATACACAACATTTTACTTTATATACCAGTATTTCTGGTCCTTAAATTTTTTTAATAAATACAGTAACAATATTTTATTTGATTATGAAGTGGTGATAATAAATTTTATATTTTGAAACCTCAACCATTTCTTCTGTTACCCAAACCACTGTTGTTTTAGGATAACAAAGAAAACATATATGTATACCATGACATTCTACAACTCCTACAAATATATACATATTTTTTCAAGTTATGCACATAACAAAAATTCCTTCCTTCATAGACTTATTCTTAAACTAAAATAAATACCTCTTCTGTGAATGATACTTTACAGCTCCAATCAATCAATGACATGCCTATTACCAATTACTTTTGCATGTCACAAATGAGATTTAGATTGAATAATATTATTATTGTATTTATTGGAACTAATCTTGTGCCACATTGCATCATAGGTTTTCTATTTCATGACATGACAACTATAACCTTTAGTGAACACAAAATGCTTTGTCTTTTGATCACCTTCAATTGGCCCAGTGATCTGAAATACATGAACTTGTGACATTAATCCAGTTTGACTGAACTCTGCTTAAAACAACTTTAAGATTTCTTCCATCCAACAATTTTTCTATCTAATGATCCAATTTATCTAAAGAGATAGTTTTTTACATTAAATTGTTGCTTTAAAACCCACCAGAATTATTCATGTACATATTAAATTATGGTAATCACACAGATGTATTTTGTTGAAAATGTCTAGGTACTGTCTGAAACTAGAAGTACTGAGTAAAGCAGAGACTCTCCACAATATGAGTATGCGATTATTAGGGTTAACATTAGGTGTATATTATGATGTATACTACTACCAATCTAAAGTAATAGTTGTTAATTAACATCAGACTTGGTATAGTAAAGCTAAAATTAAGATAACCAATTTTATCATTATGCACATACATTTATATCATATTTTAATTTGGTAATAATAATTAATATTGCTTTATTTGCACTTTAGTTGCTTTCCCAGCCTAGCCTAAGCATTTTTTAAATTGACTGTTTTAAAATTATTTCTGCTATATTAATAATTTCATAAAATTTTATTTTAAATACTTGCAAAAGTTAGGACCAATGACTTAGTTAAGGCCAAGGCCTGATCACCACAATTTGCCATCATTACATAAATTATATATACATATATATTAAATATTAAAATAACAAAACTTTTGGGAAATACGTAAATAATGTATTCTCATTTAATTAATATTTTTGTAGAGAAAATAATCAAGCAAAAGGAGGATTTAACTTTTTTTTTATTTACGGATGATAAATTAATTGTTTAAAGAATTTTTTTTGAAAACAAACACTTGAAACAGTGCAGTTCGCAAGGTTTATCAAATTTGACGAGTTCTTCCTATACTATTAATATTATACTATACTATAGTCTATAGTAAATTATTATAGGCATAAATTTATTCAAACATCATAGTTATGAAATACAGGAGTTTTACGTTAGTTACAGTAAATTTAAGTTAGAGAATACCATAACTTACATTACTGTCTTATAAATCACAAATGTAATAAAGGTTTTACTACTTGCTTCTGTTAGTATAGTATTATTGAAGTCTAAGTTCTAGCCATCATTACACGCAGCCATCAATCTCTACTTCTCACTTTCAGACTATAGTATTCAAATTCTTGCTGATACAGAATCATCCCTCTAGTGTTTCTAAATAACTTAAATTTTTAACATTTTCGTTAGAAAAGGACATCACGAAAGCTGTTCTCAAACTTCGAAAATTTCTAATAATTTACGAGCTGAAATTGGCAGTACTAAAATATAAAAACAAACATATAATACGATCAGTCGAGTTACTAATTTAAACTATACACAAAAGAATGAGTGATTGTTTATACTATATAGCTCAACAAAATGAAAACATGGATAAGATGATACTGTCGTCGAAAGCACAAAACACATTTAATTTGATCACTTAGGAAATATATTTAATATTTAATCTTATTCTGAAATTTTGTGCTCACTAATTCATTAAATAAATAATTTCTTCTAAACTTTTAAGTGGCAATAATGGCTTCAACGGTTTTATTTCTTCAAAATATTATATTCTATCAGACATTCTTAACGAATGTGCGGCAGTATGTGTTATAACGTGTTTGTTTTTTGTAGCCTGATTCATTTATATTGTTACGACAGCGGAGGTCACGTGACCTAGTAACACGTTGTATTCTCGAAGCTTAGTGAATCCTCGGGAGGTTACTAGATGTACGTTATTCTTTTATATAAGACGGCTAAGAAGTGACGGAACAATGTAATGTAACAATGTGT